CAAAGTCAGGACCTCACCCCATCTCCCCCCCACCACCCACACACACCTTGAACACTGTAACTACTATTATTTTGTAGTCCCAGCTTTCCAGCATGCAAAATACAATTAAAAACAACAACAAAAAAACACCAAACAGTTGCCTGTATTCAGGCTTCCCCTGTTAAGGGGCACGACTTGAAAAAAATACAATAGTTATGCTCCTGCCACAAATAAAGTGCAAAAACCAAGCGGTTTCTATGTATACACATACACACACGTATGTGCATGTATATATAAAATTAAAAAAAGAATACAGACAAAACTGTCCCTTCTCATGGCTTTTTGCAGCCAGACAGGGACTCCTGCAACCTGGCCAGACTTCTGGCCACCTCCATGAGACCTGTGTGTCTACAAAACGCATCTAAGCTCAGCCTAGGGATTCAAACCCCTCCCAATACTTCCTCTTTCCTCCAAGAAAGAGGAAAGGGGAGATGGAGTACCAGCACAGCACCTCAAAACAGTGCTCAGTCTCCCCCTAAATATCAACCACACCTGAACTCGGACCATCCCTGGGTGCTCCCCAAGATGAAAGCATCACCCAAGCCACCAGCAGTGTGGTTCTTCCTACACTACAGGCGGCTTGTAACCAGTGTTGGCAGCAGACCTACATTCCCTGCAAACCCCTTTAAGGTGTTACTGATTTAAAAAAAAAAAAAAAAAAAAAAGGAAAGAATGGGGTTTTTTAGTTAAACCTAGCAGTGAAGGAGTTCACACAGCTGCCTTCCTGGTGCTCGCAGACCTGGGTGAGCCAGGCTGACGTGTGCGTCAGGCTGTAGCGTGGGTGAAGGACTGCAGCACAGCTTGGGAGGGGCTTACCAAGAATTAATAATAATAATAATTAAGAAAAAAAAAAAAGCAAAACCCCTTTGCCCACCCTCCCTTCCCCCTATTTCTCCACTAACCCCGCACCATCCACATATATACACGCCCCACCCGCAGACAAGTGGGTACCAATCATCTATACAGAAGATCAAAACCGCTTAGAGAGGAAAAATTAAAACTCCTGTGCGCTAGAAAGCACTTTACAGCTTCGCTAGGACCCTACAGGACGCTGGAGAGGAGAGCAAACGCTGTGGCCTGAAGAGCTGGTGCTGACCCCCGGGGGGAGCTCAGCTCCTCTCCTCCGCTCTCCTGCATCCCTCCCCCCGGCAGCAGAGCGGTTTGCGGATGAACGGGCGTGAGCAGGAACAGCCGAGGGTCGCCCTCGCCGCAGACGGAGGAGACCGGTGGATAAGCAAGCTTCGGGGATGGCAGTGGGATGGGAAGCTGGCGTCGCCGGCGGCCTCGCGACAGTGCCAACGGAGTCACGACGGCTTCTGTGAGTTGTTCATGTTCTGAAACGAGAGGGGAAGGAGAAGGGGTTGAGAGGGTTGTGCTTGGGTCAGACCTGCAGCGTCTTCTACGTACACGTCAACACAGGGACGGAGGGTAACAAAGCACGGACGGGTCACTACGGAAGCATCCGCCACAGAGGAGAGGACACTGTCCACCCAGGGAGAGGGACGACCCTGAGATCAGCTCATTTGGTTGGAACACGGTACTGAAAACATCAAGGTCATGAGTTCAATCCCTGTGTGGGGCACTGCATCAAGAGTTGGACTTGATCCTTGCAGGTCCCTTCCAATACAATATTATGTGATTCTGTGGGGGGGAGGATATGCTGGCTGGCTACCCACACCTCTCCCCTCGAGCATCGCCTGGCTTTAACTACAGGGTGGGAATTTGACAGAGATAACCCTAAAAACTGAATTAAACCCAAGTCAATCCTCCCACCCCACCTGGTTCGCACTTCTGAAGCTGCTCTGTGGTCCCTGCAAGGCAAGGTGACAGAGGACCACCGTGTTCAGTCAAGATGCCCAATTAAACATCTCTCTTGCTCCCCTTGAGGGTGGGCAGTGTCCCCTCTGCCTGCCAAGGGCAAGGTCATTGTTTGTCCATCCTCGGCACTGACAAGAAGAGGCAACTCCCACCAGCCATGCCAATGAGGTCCCCGGCATGGGGACCAGCCATCACCATTGGTATGGCAGGAGCACACACTCCCCCAATGACAACCCCATGAGGTTTCATGGGCCCTAGAGACACTCCAGACACAGCCCTGATACAGGGTGACAACAGGTATCCACCAGTGTGTGGTGGGAACCACAAAACCAGAGACAATCATCTGAACACAAGCAGGACCAGGCCCAAGGAAAGCATCCGTTCAAGGAGAAACCCAGGGGAGATGGCCACAAGGACACTGCCCAACTCACAAAACTACACAAAACAGGGTAGGGGAAAGAAGGACTAGGAAACAGCTAGGAAGGTTTCTATTTTTTGGAGGAGTATTTTTTATTTGCTTTTTCTACCTAAGCTGCCTCTTACAAGCACCAGGAATCCCAGCCATGCTACAAGGCAGAGCTTCTCTCTCTGTTATCTAAGGAGACAGAAGGAGGATCAGGAAAAGCCACATGCACCAGAGCCATTTACCTTGGAAATATTAGTAAAGAGAAAACTTTGAGAAAGTGACAAACGGGTCTTCTTTAAGCATGAAAAGTGAAGGGGAGAAGAAGGGAGGGGATCAGGTGGTTGTTAAAAAGTGCACTTTGGATCACAAACCAAGCAAAAGGAAAAGAAATCATCACAGTAGGTAGTCCCACAATCCCAAACCAGCTCAATCCCACAGCCATGTTGCCTGCCTTTCCAAGTGTCCCCTGGTCCTCCTGGATGGGAATCAAGACCCCAGTAGCAAAGGTTAATGCAACAAAACACTCACTGCCAACCCAGTCCCATGGTGCAAATTGGGAATGAGGTACCTTCCACCTCCCCTGACCCCATACAAGTGGTGACGGGACAAAGCGAGTGACCAAATGTAAGACAACAGCCTCTGAGAGTTAACAACAGCATGAATGTCACCAAGCCTTTAGTTTGGGGTGTCTTCATGGGTCCCACAAAAGCAGCCTTTCCGCAAGTCCCACACTAGCAGGTGGAGGCAGGCTCCCAGCAGCTGGAGATTTTAAACTTGCTGCCAGCCTACACCTGGGATGGGTAACCATCACTGCCTGCTCCAGTAGAGCTCTTGGTCCAGCTAAATCTGACACAGCCATCCCCCAAATTCAACACCAGAGAGTGTTTTCAGTGTCCCAGCCAGCACTGAGGCATGCAGTGCGCTTTATTGCAATACGGATGGGGAAAAGGTGGATGGAGGGATGGACCAAAAAATAAAAAAAAAACAAAACAAAAATTCAAAGCAACCCAAGAAGACTAGACATTTCATCAGGGACTTTTGTGCCCATGAGCAGCAAGGAAAGGAGCACAGGCATGCAAGCCACGCTGAGCAACTTAATTTCTACATTGGCCCTAGGAGCACGATTATCTTCCCCAACCCAACCACCAGCAAAGCCAAGGGCAATGTTCCTAACTTCCCTTTTTTCAAAAACTTTTACTCTAGAAGACCCCGGGCACTACCCCAGTCCCAACTCAGCCCCAAAGTCTTCTCAGTCTTTGAGAAGACATTTGAGCACATCTCAACAACTGCTGAGCTCCCAAGTCAATGAAGTAGCATAAATTGAGTCCAAAAGCTTCAAATTCACCCAGAAGTTGTCCCGACCCTGTTACATAAGGATCTAACAGCACTAAGCCAAACTGTCAAAGTCTTGATTACTCATAATTAGTGCATTAAATGCTCAAGGTTTTTTCATTTTTTAATAGAGAAGGAAATTTGCATATACTCTGCCCATGACACCTAAGCTGACTGTTCCCAAAATCCAGGTTTGCAGAACTGCAGATACCTGGTTCCAGGATCAGTCCAGCTCGAGAAGACACACTCCTGAGAAGGTCAGAACCTTCTCTGGTGCCATCACTCATAGACACAACTCAGAGCCCTTAGGAAGGACAGATCATCCAGGTCTATCACCTACAGCACAATGTGCCATCACAGAGAAGACAACTTCAGGAAAACCCAACAGTATCTCCCATTCCATGACTGTCCAGGAAACGTAGGCATCATCAACAGAATGCAAGTGATAACTTGCTTCATTTCACAACAAACTTGGGACATTTAACCAAGTAGGATATTCGGGGGTTGGACAAAACAACATCCATAGTCTCCTCTTTACCTTTCCTAAGACAAATCCCCCTCAAAACAGAGAAATATAAACTCCAAAAAGTCCACACCCCAGTCAGATTTCCCAACAAAACAACCAGTGGGATGGCAAGAGACATGGAAAAGGGTTGGAAGGGGGAATAAGACGCAAGAAGATACTTACAGGCATGCCTTCCCTAGTAAAGGCTGCAGAGAGACAGAGAGAACGGAGAGAGAGGTGTCAGTAACGCCGTGCCAGACTGGGCAGAGGACAACGGACGGCACCCGACAGCCAGAGCTTCCAAACCCGGAGCCAGCAAAGAGTTTGTGTAAGACTCAACCAGCCCAAGCAGACCCCAAAAGCTGAAAGACAGGCTGGGCTGTCCCACTTGGTGCTTGCTGGGGTGGGAGGCTCATGCAAAGCAGCAACCAAGCAGAGCAATTTGGGAGCACAGAACCATTCCTAACCTGCCCGCGCTCTGGCTGAGGAGGGGCAAGAGGATACCAGACAACACAATACCAGATAACAGAAAGAGGGGCTGGGCAAGACAGTGAGATCCAACAGGCAGCTGGCGGGAAGGGCAGCATGGCAAAGCAGCTCCCATGCTGCTTCTCCAGTACCATCCCAGTTCCTTTATGAGCTCAGGGAAGGGGGTTTGTTCCTGGAGAAGCGTGCATTCAGCACGGTCTCTCTTCCTACATCTCTTCATGGGTGGGTGAGAGAGGGTACGTGAGCACCACAGCAACCACCCACAGGGTTTCAACTCAGGTTCACCACACCAAGAAGCTTCTACTTAGTTTTGGTCCATTTTGCCTGTTGTTCCAGAAAAGAGATCCCTCCAGCCAAAGATGAGTCTTGGCAGCTCCGTCTCGAGGGAAGCACAAGAACATTTGCTTTATTGCAATGCCCAGGTCTACACTGGAGCCGAGCACACACAGAGAGAAGGCACAAGCCCTTTGGTCCTGCTCCCTCTAGAAATGTAGCTCCCTGGGAGTCTGACACCACGATGCTGGATAGTGCAGGCACTAAATTAACACAACCCACTGGGGGGAGTTCATGACGCTCTCAAAACCCAAGAGAGGATCAACAGGGACCCTTCGCCGGGCACTCCCGAGACCAACCCAAGGCAGGGAAGGACAGCAGCCGTGGGAGGAAGATGCATCT